TGAAGCCTTTCACTCCTTTATGATATCCCAGAAAGATACACTGTCTAGACTTCGCATCAAGCTTCGACCTCTCCTCACTAGAAACATGTACATAGGCTGGACATCTAAACACTCTCAAACCAGAGTAGTCTACCTCACTGCCTGTCCACACCTCCTCTGATACTTTCCCATCTAGTGCTGCCCTCGGTGATCTGTTAATCAAGAAACATGCCATATTCATTGCCTCTGCCCAGAAATTCTTTGCAAGCCCTGCATTCAACCTGAGACACCGAGCTTTCTCGGCTATCGTTCTGTTCATCCTTTCCGCTACACCATTTTGTTGTGGTGTCTTGCGGACTGTGAAGTGTCTCTTGATCCCATGTTGCTCACACAACTCCTGGAACTTTGAATCTGTGTACTCAGTACCATTATCTGACCTGAGGCATTTAATCTTCCTCCCTGTCTGGTTCTCTACTTCAGCTTTCCACAGCTTGAACTTGGCAAACGCTTCTGACTTGTGCCGCATGAAGTACACCCAGACCTTTCGTGAGTAATCATCAATGAAACTCACGAAATACATGTATCCTCCCCGTGATAGTACGCTGACTGGTCCCCAAACATCTGTATGGACATAGTCGAGAACCCCCTCTGTCTTGTGTGTGGCTGTCTTGAACTGCACCCTATTCTGTTTTCCAAGAACACAATATTTGCAAAAATTGAGCTTGCATGTCTTGACACCCTTCAATAGATTTTTCTTATGAAGCTCTATCATCCCACGCTCACTCATATGACCCAGCCGCATATGCCACAAGACTGTATTATCTGATTCAGACTCTACAACAACAACTCCACCTACAATTGTAGTACCCAGCAGTCTGTAAATATTTCCTACTACTTTCTGTCCCTTCATCACTGTCAGCATGCCTTTACTTACTTTCATTACTCCACTTATAGATTTGTAACTATAACCATTACAATCCAAAGTGCCCAATGAAATCAAATTCTTCCTTAGATCCGGTACATGTCTAACATCACACAACGTTCTAACCATACCATCAAACATTTTAATTCTAATATTTCCTATTCCAACAACTTTGCAAGATGCATCATTACCCATCAGAACAAAACCAGAATTTACTGACCTGTAGGTGTCAAACCAATCTTTGTTGGGTGTCATGTGATAGGAACATGCTGAATCCATAATCCAAGAATCTGTTAAACGATCTGAACTAGATAAAACAGAAAGCATATCTCCGTCACCACTCTCTGAATCTTCTTCTTCCACTACGTTTGCAGACTTTGATGCACCCTCTTTGTTCTCTGAATCCCCTTTCTTTTTCTCTGGACAGTCCCGTTTAAAGTGCCCCTTTTTCCCGCACTTGTAACACGAGACAGAGACGTCCTTCTTCTTCTTCCTCGACTTGGACCGGGCTTTATTGTTACCCGATCCATTCCGAGATTTGCTTCTTCCACGTTCCTGGTTACCTTTCACCACAAGCCCTTCACCTTGTGAAGCCTCATCACTGGCTTTCTTCCGCTGATGAAAACCTAACAGAGCACCTGTGACATCCTCCAATTCGAGGGTTTCTTTCCCCCACATCAGAGTCGTAACCAAATTCTCGTACGTAGGAGACGCCGGTAAGGAATTCAGCAACATCAGCGCCTTGTCTTCGTCTTCGAACTTCACATCAACTCGCTTCAGATCGCTGATGATCTGATTGAACACGTTGATGTGTTGGGTCAAATCCGAGCCCTCTGACATCTTAAGACCATATAGTTTCTGCTTAAGATAGAGCTTGTTCGTCAACGACTTGGACATATACCGACTTTCCAGTTTCAACCAAACTTCCGCCGGTGATTCCTCATCCATGACGTGATACATCACTTCATCAGCCAGACAAAGCCTAATAGTCGCCACAGCCTTCGCTTCCAATTCTTTCCAATCCATGTCGTCCATTCCTGCCGGTTGTTTTCCGTATAATGCCTTCACCATGCCCTGCTGCACTAACTGGTCCTTCACCCTCCTCTGCCATAATCCGAAATTCCCAGTTCCGTCGAACTTCATGATGTCGAATTTTGTAGAGGAAATCCCAGACATCGTAGTCTTGCTCTGATACCAATTGTTGTGATCGTGCAGCAATTATGGTGAATAGTAAGGAATCAAACAATTAAGAAAGCAGGAGAAAATAACACACAAAGATTTACGTGGTTCGGCAATGTGCCTACATCCACGAGAGCGAGCGGCTGTTCTTTTTCTTATTGAAGTAGGGTTACATCTTAAGTATTTATATAACCCTAATATGGACGTATTTACAAAAATACCCCTGTACCGTACCGCGGGGGCGTTGCCCCCGCACCCCCAACTTATCAGCGTCCCCTATATATAAATCCCGCAAGGCAGATGCCGTCGCGGGCTCCGTTCCGCAATGTTACGCTTCGCTCCACTCCGCCCGCTCCGGCATCTGCCTCGTTGCCATTATGCACATAGCAAAATATGAGCCACACATACTCTAACACCCTATATATTGCATCATGTTACTCATTAACTCGATCTTTTTATTGGGATGATGTACCATCCAAATTGAAAAACTAAGAGTGCACCACCGGGTGGCATTTAGATTAAATTGATAAAATAATATTTATTCTAGTTTAATAATTAGTAATTCTGGTAATGATATTTAAATTTAAAAATAGACTTTATTTGTTAATTTAATGATGTAATTTAATTAAAATCATTTGATAAAAAATAAGTTTTAATATTTAATAGAATTTATAATTAATCTAAAGATTATATTGAATGAGGTTAATAAATAAGATGAAAATTTTAAATTAAAATAATATTACTCCACTTCGGGTCAGGCCCAATCCTTGGGGTCTGGGATGCCCTACCTATAAAGTGTCTCTCGTCAGTCCTGCGCGCTCCTTCCATCGATTTCAGTCAACAAATAAGAGGATTCCAAGAATAAGATATGCCTATTTACCAATTTTAATCGTTTCATCATGAGTGGACGGATGACTCACTCTCACTCTCACTCTCCCTGTCACTCTCAGAAACAATCCCCTCTTTCAGCGTCGTTACATGGATCACTTGAAACTCTTCAATGAGTTAAGGTACCATGTAAATGCCAAGAAAAATGCATTCTACTCATTTCTTCGAACAAGCTCTAGCTCAACAGACGTCTCCAACTCCGGCGAACAACCTCCTCCAGCTGCAGCGACATCTCCATCTCCGGCCAACACTTTTATTTCCGGCGAATACCTCTATCTCCGGCGAAGCAGTAAGCTCCCTTTTCTCCGCAAAATTTTTCATTTATTTTTAGATCTAGGATGATGCTGTTCAGATCTCGGTGGTGGGGTTGGGTGGTGAGATTTGAGGTTGGGTGGTGGTTTTGGGTGGTCAGTGGGGTTGGGTGGTGAATTATTGGTATAATACAAAACATGTTTTTTTATTTTTGTTTTCACAATTTATATTAATGTGTTATATTTTTAATTTTTATCACAGAAAAACAAAAACTAGTTTTTTTTTAACAAAAAAACATAAAAACGAAAACGTTAACAAATCCACCCTAAAAAATCACCATAAAAAATTGTACAGTTTAGAACTTTTTTTTCCCCTCTTTTTCGTTACAAGTTACAGTAGATGTAATCAAGAAATATGAACCCCAATATCAGCGGAAGATTAGTCTGCATAGAACTTCAATTTCAACCTAGAGTTGTGTAACCGAGTTTAAAAATTCATGCATTGAAGTACCAATCAGGTTGAATCCCGTAATTTATATATTACTAGAGTAACTCGTGACATCACGGTGCAATGCAGAGGTGGATTTAAAGTGGGGGCAGCTGCCCCTACTGGAATTTTTAAAGTATTTGGGGAGTTAGGTGATATTTTAGAATATGTTAAAAGTTGCCCCACTAGAATTTTAAAATGTTTGGGGAGTAAGATAAAATGTTTGAAATTTTAAAATATGTTAGAAGGTTCCCCCACTGAAAATATTTTAAACTCAAGACTAGTCATGTATTTTCACAAACATGTGGGGTTCTTTAGTCTTAGCAACAACAAAAAGTACTTCTACTTCTACTTTTCAGAGATCACAGCTAAGAACTTCACTCCTACAATTCTAGAATTGGTCTCCCTATATATATATTTGTTGTGCTATTTTTGTATGTTAAATTAATATAGAGAATTGCAAGTTGTTAAATTTAATGACATTGTTATATTTAGAATTCACATGTTGTGGACTATTTTTTGGATTAAACCATTTGGTTCGATGGGCTTGAGGAATCTGATTGTGAGAAATTATGATGTTTATATGTCTAAGTTTGATTTACTAGACTTGTATTTATGTTAAAAATTGTTTGATTTTCTAAACTATTTTGATTGATTGGGATTGAATAATAAATTATTTTTGATAAATACTTCTCAATAAGGTACATAGTAAAAAGTCGAGAGATCAATAGATGAATGATTACTTGGCTACATATGTTGAGAAAGAATTTTCAAATATCATTTGTGAAAACTTGTTGAAACGATTATGAAGATTTTCAAGAATTTGGATTTTTTCATGTGTTGAATCAATTCATTATTGGACACTATTTTTTTGATACAAAAGTATTTTTTTGGTACAATTTTATAGTGGACTTTTTTTGTGAACTCTTTTTGTATATTACTTGTATATGTCATTTCGATGAAACTATACTTTTGTAAAATAGTATTAACACTCCGAGTTTGAGCATTCATATATTGAAAGTTGCCCCCATTAGAGTTGAAGTCTGGCTCCGCCCCTGGCGCAATGTGAATAGTTTTGAGTGGATGTTGGTTGACGATGAGTTTATTTGAGACTGTCGGACTTCAACCCTTTTTTATATTATAGATTACGTTATTTGTTGTTCCTTTTCTACCTTTTTTATACTAATTTTTTTTCTAGATTATTAATTTGACTTGAATTTGTGACCAACCTAGTGAAGTGAAACATTTTGGTTTTAGATAAATTGGAATTGAAATATAAGAACACTTTCATTAGATGACATGGTTTTTTTAAAGCGTTTGGTGATAATGAAGCAAATAGATGTAATAGAAGACAGTTTGCTGTCACAACTTGCCATGCCATCTAAGTTTCAGGTTTGATTTGTTTTGATTAGTGGTGTTTTTTGTTACTATGTTTTTTTTTTTTAAATTTTTAGTATTGTGTATGCTGTTATTTTGGTTTGTTGAGTTTTGTTTTAAGTAGATTGAGGATTTTGGATTAATATACAAATTGTGTAGTGGAATCTTTTTGAGTTTATTTTTAGTTGATTGAAAAGGGAGGTTTTGGGCTAGTTTGAAGCTGGAGCAGATTTTAGTTAGCTTTGGTTATCATACTTTGGGATTTATTTTCTGGGTTTCATGACTATGGCATGACATTTAGATTTTGTAATTGTTTATTTTCTTATCATGTGGATTTTGGAGTTTTGTATTTTTTGCGATGTTTGAACATGTGATCCTTTCAAACTATTAGGTAAGAGCAATGATGTATGGTCGTAGAGTTTCAGTCAATGTCTTTGGAAGTCAAGAGAACTCTCAAGCATTCTATAGGAGCAGAGGACCATCGACTATTACAATTCCTTTTAGAAAGTGCAAAGGTTTGGTCCAGGTGTCACCTGCAGCTAACCAGAAGATGAATTATTTAGTTGGGTCCCAAAATATTGTAGCACTCTCCATCATGGTACTTGAGACTTAAACTATCATTCTCTGCTATCGTACATTCGTATAATGGTGTTAAAGATTTATCAGCTTTTAATTTTGGGAGATTTCAGAATAGGAACATATTCATGGATGTTTTTTGGCTTTAGGTTCAAGTTCAACCTTAAAATCAACTCTTAACCAAAATATCCTTAATGAAGTAGTTTATTAAAAAATCTCGACCGTTATCTTATTTTTATATTTATTATCACTTTAATCAACACCACCACCATCACCACTGCCCACCACTAGCCACCACCACCACTACTACCACTCATCACCACCCACCACCACCACTGCACAACCATCGCCGTCATCGTTGCCATGCACCACAACCACCTAAAACCTACCCCAACCACCACCACCACCACTACTGGCGCCTCCATCCACCACCACCATCGTTGCCCCTACAAATAGTGAACTAAAGAGTGAAATCTTGTTTGGGGGTGTGAAAGATAGAGGGTGGTGGTGGACTTGGCACTGGCAGGTGACATGAAAGACTAAAGGCACACTCAGGATAGTGAAAGATAGAGGTAGAGAGTGTCTTTAGTTCACTAGTTTTGTAGTTCACTGTCTTTCGCTCCACTCCGTTACGCTCCGCCCGCTCCGGCATCTGCCTCGTTGCCATTATGCACATAGCAAAATATGAGCCACACATACTCTAACACCCTATATATTGCATCACGTTACTCATTAACTCGATCTTTTTATTGGGATGATGTACCATCCAAATTGAAAAACTAAGAGTGCACCACCGGGTGGCATTTAGATTAAATTGATAAAATAATATTTATTCTAGTTTAATAATTAGTAATTCTGGTAATGATATTTAAATTTAAAAATAGACTTTATTTGTTAATTTAATGATGTAATTTAATTAAAATCATTTGATAAAAAATAAGTTTTAATATTTAATAGAATTTATAATTAATCTAAAGATTATATTGAATGAGGTTAATAAATAAGATGAAAATTTTAAATTAAAATAATATTACTCCACTTCGGGTCAGGCCCAATCCTTGGGGTCTGGGATGCCCTACCTATAAAGTGTCTCTCGTCAGTCCTGCGCGCTCCTTCCATCGATTTCAGTCAACAAATAAGAGGATTCCAAGAATAAGATATGCCTATTTACCAATTTTAATCGTTTCATCATGAGTGGACGGATGACTCACTCTCACTCTCACTCTCCCTGTCACTCTCAGAAACAATCCCCTCTTTCAGCGTCGTTACATGGATCACTTGAAACTCTTCAATGAGTTAAGGTACCATGTAAATGCCAAGAAAAATGCATTCTACTCATTTCTTCGAACAAGCTCTAGCTCAACAGACGTCTCCAACTCCGGCGAACAACCTCCTCCAGCTGCAGCGACATCTCCATCTCCGGCCAACACTTTTATTTCCGGCGAATACCTCTATCTCCGGCGAAGCAGTAAGCTCCCTTTTCTCCGCAAAATTTTTCATTTATTTTTAGATCTAGGATGATGCTGTTCAGATCTCGGTGGTGGGGTTGGGTGGTGAGATTTGAGGTTGGGTGGTGGTTTTGGGTGGTCAGTGGGGTTGGGTGGTGAATTATTGGTATAATACAAAACATGTTTTTTTATTTTTGTTTTCACAATTTATATTAATGTGTTATATTTTTAATTTTTATCACAGAAAAACAAAAACTAGTTTTTTTTTAACAAAAAAACATAAAAACGAAAACGTTAACAAATCCACCCTAAAAAATCACCATAAAAAATTGTACAGTTTAGAACTTTTTTTTCCCCTCTTTTTCGTTACAAGTTACAGTAGATGTAATCAAGAAATATGAACCCCAATATCAGCGGAAGATTAGTCTGCATAGAACTTCAATTTCAACCTAGAGTTGTGTAACCGAGTTTAAAAATTCATGCATTGAAGTACCAATCAGGTTGAATCCCGTAATTTATATATTACTAGAGTAACTCGTGACATCACGGTGCAATGCAGAGGTGGATTTAAAGTGGGGGCAGCTGCCCCTACTGGAATTTTTAAAGTATTTGGGGAGTTAGGTGATATTTTAGAATATGTTAAAAGTTGCCCCACTAGAATTTTAAAATGTTTGGGGAGTAAGATAAAATGTTTGAAATTTTAAAATATGTTAGAAGGTTCCCCCACTGAAAATATTTTAAACTCAAGACTAGTCATGTATTTTCACAAACATGTGGGGTTCTTTAGTCTTAGCAACAACAAAAAGTACTTCTACTTCTACTTTTCAGAGATCACAGCTAAGAACTTCACTCCTACAATTCTAGAATTGGTCTCCCTATATATATATTTGTTGTGCTATTTTTGTATGTTAAATTAATATAGAGAATTGCAAGTTGTTAAATTTAATGACATTGTTATATTTAGAATTCACATGTTGTGGACTATTTTTTGGATTAAACCATTTGGTTCGATGGGCTTGAGGAATCTGATTGTGAGAAATTATGATGTTTATATGTCTAAGTTTGATTTACTAGACTTGTATTTATGTTAAAAATTGTTTGATTTTCTAAACTATTTTGATTGATTGGGATTGAATAATAAATTATTTTTGATAAATACTTCTCAATAAGGTACATAGTAAAAAGTCGAGAGATCAATAGATGAATGATTACTTGGCTACATATGTTGAGAAAGAATTTTCAAATATCATTTGTGAAAACTTGTTGAAACGATTATGAAGATTTTCAAGAATTTGGATTTTTTCATGTGTTGAATCAATTCATTATTGGACACTATTTTTTTGATACAAAAGTATTTTTTTGGTACAATTTTATAGTGGACTTTTTTTGTGAACTCTTTTTGTATATTACTTGTATATGTCATTTCGATGAAACTATACTTTTGTAAAATAGTATTAACACTCCGAGTTTGAGCATTCATATATTGAAAGTTGCCCCCATTAGAGTTGAAGTCTGGCTCCGCCCCTGGCGCAATGTGAATAGTTTTGAGTGGATGTTGGTTGACGATGAGTTTATTTGAGACTGTCGGACTTCAACCCTTTTTTATATTATAGATTACGTTATTTGTTGTTCCTTTTCTACCTTTTTTATACTAATTTTTTTTCTAGATTATTAATTTGACTTGAATTTGTGACCAACCTAGTGAAGTGAAACATTTTGGTTTTAGATAAATTGGAATTGAAATATAAGAACACTTTCATTAGATGACATGGTTTTTTTAAAGCGTTTGGTGATAATGAAGCAAATAGATGTAATAGAAGACAGTTTGCTGTCACAACTTGCCATGCCATCTAAGTTTCAGGTTTGATTTGTTTTGATTAGTGGTGTTTTTTGTTACTATGTTTTTTTTTTTAAAATTTTTAGTATTGTGTATGCTGTTATTTTGGTTTGTTGAGTTTTGTTTTAAGTAGATTGAGGATTTTGGATTAATATACAAATTGTGTAGTGGAATCTTTTTGAGTTTATTTTTAGTTGATTGAAAAGGGAGGTTTTGGGCTAGTTTGAAGCTGGAGCAGATTTTAGTTAGCTTTGGTTATCATACTTTGGGATTTATTTTCTGGGTTTCATGACTATGGCATGACATTTAGATTTTGTAATTGTTTATTTTCTTATCATGTGGATTTTGGAGTTTTGTATTTTTTGCGATGTTTGAACATGTGATCCTTTCAAACTATTAGGTAAGAGCAATGATGTATGGTCGTAGAGTTTCAGTCAATGTCTTTGGAAGTCAAGAGAACTCTCAAGCATTCTATAGGAGCAGAGGACCATCGACTATTACAATTCCTTTTAGAAAGTGCAAAGGTTTGGTCCAGGTGTCACCTGCAGCTAACCAGAAGATGAATTATTTAGTTGGGTCCCAAAATATTGTAGCACTCTCCATCATGGTACTTGAGACTTAAACTATCATTCTCTGCTATCGTACATTCGTATAATGGTGTTAAAGATTTATCAGCTTTTAATTTTGGGAGATTTCAGAATAGGAACATATTCATGGATGTTTTTTGGCTTTAGGTTCAAGTTCAACCTTAAAATCAACTCTTAACCAAAATATCCTTAATGAAGTAGTTTATTAAAAAATCTCGACCGTTATCTTATTTTTATATTTATTATCACTTTAATCAACACCACCACCATCACCACTGCCCACCACTAGCCACCACCACCACTACTACCACTCATCACCACCCACCACCACCACTGCACAACCATCGCCGTCATCGTTGCCATGCACCACAACCACCTAAAACCTACCCCAACCACCACCACCACCACTACTGGCGCCTCCATCCACCACCACCATCGTTGCCCCTACAAATAGTGAACTAAAGAGTGAAATCTTGTTTGGGGGTGTGAAAGATAGAGGGTGGTGGTGGACTTGGCACTGGCAGGTGACGTGAAAGACTAAAGGCACACTCAGGATAGTGAAAGATAGAGGTAGAGAGTGTCTTTAGTTCACTAGTTTTGTAGTTCACTGTCTTTTGAACTAGGAGATTTGTGTGCGTCTATGTTGTTAACTTTTTGAATCAATTGTTTAATATGTGGAGTTCTGGATGATCTTAGAAGTTCGATTTTGTAACGTTGAAGGTCCCATTTGAATTTTGTGAAATTTATAGAGTAGAAGTAATATTGTAATACAAAAAGAGAAATACTAGTTTGAACTACAAGACAACAAAGATGGGCTAAGTTGGACTTAATGACTTAAAAAGTCCTTGTCTAGACTTTTTAACAAAAAAGTTTGGTTTCATTGAGCAGGACTATTTTATACCACCACCACCCATCGCCACCACCCACAACCACTGTCACCACCCACAACCACTGTCACCACCCATTACCCATCATCTACACCCTTCACCACCATCCAAAACCCATGGCAACCACCCACAACCAAGACCACCACCATTATCATTACTCGCCACCGCCAACTCCATTGCCATCCAACATCACCATGACCATTTTTTTTCTATAATATATGTTTTGGATATATATTAAAATTTGAGACATAGAGAAGCTTTTTTTGAGTTTTATAATT